TGTTTACATAACATTAAAGATTTTCCCTTAGGAATCGTATAAAATCTTCTTAAATTCTTAAGTAAATATGAAATTGTTCTTCAACAACCACCATGAAAGGCATTGATCAAGAAATTCTCTGTTTCTTGAACTTTTTTTAGAAAATGGAGGCTTACAATCTTGCTACGTGACATTTTTAGATTGGCTTGAGGGTGATTTTTTTTCATTCACGCCCCCCCCCCCCCCAATACGTGAGATTACAGCTACTGTGAGAATGGGTTAAAATGGTGTATTTATAATTGTTAGAAATAGTTTTGTGGGGTAATAAAACACCCACAAAATTAAGGTATCTTTTTAAAATTTCGAGACAACTTTAATGATGAATTTATATATTTTCTCTTATACTATTCAAACTAGAACATGGCCTTTTGATACTTCTCATGGTTTAGCCAAAAGAGGAAATTAAATAAAACAATAATGGAGTATGTGACAATATGTGTATATGTGTGTTAAATAAAAAAAATAAAAAGATATTATTTTTAAAATATTCATATATGATTAATTAAATAAATATCATGAGAGTTGTGTGTGGGTGGGTGTTGGGGGGGGGGGGGGAGTTCATAATTTTACTACCTATAATAGATATCTTGGGAATTATGAAATATGGGAGTAAAAACTATGTGTGTTAAAACTTCAAAAAAACAATTAATATTGAATATTCACTTGTAAGATTTTAAAAAAAAAATTAATCACTAAAAAGTAAAAATAAAAATAGATGGGGAAAAATAGGAACATGTCAAGTATGTTAGAACTTAGAAGAACAATGAATGTTGAATATTTACTTGTAAGATTTTTTTTATTTTGTTTTTAACTTTGATCACTAGAAAATTAAAATGATAATTAAGACGGGGCAAAATAGAAAAAAAATCTTAATAAGGCGGACAGAAAAATATTTAAATAGGATGGATCACAGTAGAGTAGAGCAAAACTTAATTCTTTTAAAAAAAAAATAATAGAATAACATGTCATATGCCTTTACATGTGTTAGTATTGTTATGATTATGAGCATGATTTAATAAAATTGTCCAAAAAATAAAATAAAATCGGAATATGTCCATTAATGTTGAATAATCATTTTATAATATTGTGATCATTTCAAACTATACTAGCTAATTTGTCCTTTATCTTAAAAATGAATTTCATAGTAACAAAATTTCCATTAATTCAGTAATAGTATTCTTGATTTGTCTTCTAGATCTTCATATGATTTAAATAATTCAGAATTAATTTTATCTTTTCCACTTGCCAAACTCTTACTTAGATAAGTGACACATGTTACGATTAAAATATAGTGATTGAGATTTAATTAATCGAACAAAATCCTAATCATGAACAGAATATTAGATATTTTATGGAATTGGATGTTATGTGTCTATTTAGTTTTAAATGGTTGGGAATTGGATCATGTCATTATGACATTATCTATGGTTCATAAAGCAATTAAAAAATCTTACATAATTTAAATAAGTATAAAACAAAGAAATACTAAACAAACTTGTGGTGACGCTTAGGACTCTGTATTGATCAGTTCAATTCGATTTTGAGATTTATTGATTCAATTTATCGATTATTAATTTGTAGAATGTAATATATTAAAGGATTGTAAAATTATTAAAATATCAATTTATCGATTATTGGTTCTTTTTTTTCTTTTCAAAATTGGGGATAGGGAAAGAGGAAATGGTGAGGAGATTATTATGTGGGAAATCGAATCCTCACCAATAAAGTGGAGTTTAAGTAGTTTATTCTTTAAGATTTCACACAAAAAGAATCATTCAAAATCACTTTAAAATAAGGTGACTAAGAAGGAGATGCTTCAAAAACAGAAGGATTGTTACTATCCATATTTGGTTTCATAGATTTTCTTCTGTGTTCTGCTAGTAATTAAGTGTCGACAAATAAATATTATTTCAAAACAAACTTTCTCCTAATTTTTTCTGTTTTAATCAAGCTAGTTACATTTTGTTACCAGAAAATGATTAAATTCATCGGTAACCGTATTTATTGATTTTTCAAGATGCCTAACACCTTCATCGCGAAATTATTTGAATCTTATGGTATTCTTGATTAATGAGTAATTTTTGAATTAGAAATCTTAATGATACCAATATAATATAATATATATATATATATATATATATATATATATATTGATGTAGTATCAATTAAGCGAAATTAACAGTCTTAATGATACCAATACAATTTATGATATTGATTTAATATTAGTTAAGCGAAATTAGTTGGGGAGTATATAGTGTAATTATTTAGTGGGGTATGAATGTAAAGGGGTATATGCTTGTAATTATTTTGTTTTATGTGGTATTTGCTTAGTTTCCCCTAGTTTAAATGGTTGTCATATGCGATTTTGGAGGATTATGTATTTCGTGAAAAAACCGTTTGTCCATATCATCTTCTTTCTAGGAATCTAAATTTCTCATCCCATTCTTATCTCTATCATTTAGATACTTGTAATTTCAATATTTCCATTGTAATCCTATAGTTTGAGAGTTGTAAGTACTATTTTAAAGTTGTAATCATGTTCCGTTCTTATTATTATAATGATCTATTCAGGTTTGTTTCTGTATAGGTGTCTTTATATCAAAGAAAATAGTAGCATATGCTTATTTTAAGGATGTTCTTAATACCTTATTTTCCCTCGGAATACTATATCTATATATATATAATAAATAACCACAATAATTAGATATCGTTGAGATCTTGATGTAGATATGAAATTATTACAAGCCATAAAATTCAAGAATTTCTGATAGAAATCAAGAAACAAACACCTCAAGATTTGCATGTGATAGTACTGTACATTAATTTTAATAGACAATGACATGTTATACAATATATGTCCTTTAGCTTTCAGGCCTTATTGCTAAATGATTTTTTTTTAATACAACATACTTGATGAAATTAATAGTCACCACAATTTAGGTTATGTAAGTAAACTTTACCTTTTGAATGATGGGTCGACAAGAAAATAGAAAGTAAAACTAGACCATAGAACTTAAAATAATGGAAAAATTACATAAATATACAATTTATCTTATCATATTTTTACAATATATTACATGCTATTTATGGGTTTAGATGACAACTCTAAGCAAAATAAATGTCATCGAGTGAGAGAAACTCCGAGCTTCTCCAAGCTCAAAACTCAAATTTGGAACCATATTTTCTCCTTTATGAGGTCTTAGGTGATAACACAAGCATCATTGATCATGGTGACAAATCGAAACAATTGTTGTATCAAGGATATACTTGAATTATAGATTTTGAACCCTGAATGGAAGTTATTTTGCATTCATTGAAACCAGCTTCATTGAAGAGTTTTTCCCATTCCTTCTTAGTTCTCTCTTTAGCAGCAAAACAAACCATCATCATCATATCCATATTATGTTGTGCTCGAACACAGTCAGTGTTGTTCTTTGGATCTTCCAACACAACGTCAATAATAATCAATTTCCCTCCTTCATCCCTACTCGGAATTGACTCTTTGCATTTTTTCAATATCTTCACACAATCTTTGTCATTCCAGTTATGTAAAATCACTGTTTAATTAATATGATGAAAAATTCAAGCATATATATATTGGAAAAAACAAGTTAAAAATGAAAATAAGTTTATATTTTCAAAAAGCAAGAATTTATGAAAAATATTAAGTAAACAAATTAAATGAGCATTGATAATATAAAAATAGATTCATATTATCCACCTAGATATCTAATTTTTTTTAATGAATAATATTCATAATTGATCCATTTTTAAATAGTCGGTTATCCAACTCATATTTAATGAATCTGATTGGTTGATTACTTATTTTCTTAATAGTTTTTCAAGCCCTATACACAAAAATAACTTAGATATTCTCCTAAGTATCTTGGATGTGAATTTTGCTAGATATTCTCATCCGATTCTTATCTCTATCCTTTAGCTACTTGTAATTTCAATAATCCCATTGTAATTCAACAATTTGAGAGTTGTAAGTACTATTCTAAAGTTATAATCATGTTCCATTCTTATTATTATAATGATCTATTCGGGTTTGTTTCAATATGGGTTTCAAAGAAAATAGTAGCATATGTTTATTTTAGGAATGTTCTCAATATCTTATTTTTTCCCGAAATACTACATATATAATATATTATATTATATTATAAATGACCACAATAATTAGATATCGTTGAGATCTTGATGTAGATATGAAATTACTACAAGCCATAAAATTCAAAAAATTCTGATAGAAAGCAAGAAACAGACACTTCAATCATTTGACTCTTCATATATATTATTGTCCTCGTAGGTTTGCATGTGATAGTGTGCATTGATTTTTATAGACAATGACATGTTTTATACAATATATGTCACTTAGGTTTCAGGCCTTATTGCTAAATAATTTTTTTTAATACAACATACTTGGTGAAATTTATAGTCACCACAATTTAGGTTATGTAGGTAAACTTTACCTTTTGAATGATGGGTCGACATTACATAGGATGGGTCGACAATACATAGGATATATATATATATATATATATGTATCATTAAGGTTTCTTGTTTGGAAATTACTCACTAGTTAATGATATTATCAGAGTATATCATACATAAAATCAAAAAATTAAACAAAATAATTAAAATGAGTTGAGGGATATTTTTGTCTTTACATACATTTATCCCATGATATTATATCCTATATATTATTAATACCTTCCAAAAGGGAAGATATTAGTAATACATCCTATAATACCATGTAGGATGTAATTCCTACCAAACATAGTACTAAATAATCCTATACATAATACATAGACCATTTCTTATAATGCGGCCTACCAAACGAGATAATATCAACATATATCCAATAATAAGTGATCAAGTGTTGTACATAATTGCATCATCAACATGAATAGAAAACCAAAACATCATAGATCATGGTGAAAAATCGAAACAACACTTGTTCAAGGATATACTTCAATCAGAGATCTTGAACCCAGAATGGATGTTATTTTGCATTCATTGAAACCAGCTTCATTGAAGAGTTTTTCCCATTCCTTCTTAGTTCTCTCTTTAGCAGCAAAACAAACCATCATCATCATATCCATATTATGTTGTGCTCGAACATAGTCACTCGTGTTCTTTGGATCTTCCAACACAACGTCAATAATGATCAATTTCCCTCCTTCATCCCTACTCGGAATTGACTCTTTGCATTTTTTCAGTATCTTCACACAATCTTCGTCATTCCAGTTATGTAAAATCCACTGTTTAATATGATGAAAAATTCAAACATATATTCTGAATGGAATTTTATTTTCACAAATGGACAAGAAACTTTAAACGGGTCAAAAATAGATAAATACTTACCATATTAAAAAAAAGAAAAAAAAAAAAGAGGAGGGGGATATTCGGTGAATAATATGAATACCAATAGTCAAGTGAAAAAACAAGTTAAAAATAAAAATAAGTTTATATTTTCAAAAAGCAAGAATTAATGAAAAATATTAAGTAAACAAATGAGCATTTATAATATAAAAATAAATAGATCCATATTATCCACCTATATATCTATTTTTTTAATGAATAACATTCATAATTGATCCATTTTTAAATAGTCGGTTATCCAACTCATATTTAATGAATCTGATTGGTTGATTACTTCTTTTCTTAACCGTTTTTCAAGCCCTATACACAAAAATAACCAAGAGATTCTCCTAAGTATCTTGGATGTGAATTTTGCTAGATTTTACATAAATTTATGGTGGAATTTTAAATAGTTCATGTTTATAACAAATCATGGTAGTTGATTATGAAGTCATATATTCTTAATAAGATCATAAAACTATGCATTAGTTAATCATGATTAAGTATGAAAATTAACAAGACGAAATTGCTCAGGTGAAAACTCCTAAGGAGAGATTGAAAAAGGAGCGATAACAATATATTTTTCGAAAAATCATACATGCAATATTTATAAAAGGTCATTTCTAAAGAACTATATATACTTGTACCTTGAGTAAGATTGCATTAGCATTAGGAATCTTTTGGAACATGTCTCCTCCAACAAACTCCATGTTTCCATTGCTCTTGAGGTCCTCTATAACATGTGGAAGATCAAGTACAATGCAATTTATGGAAGGAAAAGCTTTGGCTATGGCAATCGCCACAGTGCCAGTGCCACCTCCAACGTCTACCAATGATGTCAACCCCTCAAAAATGTGTCTACACTCCGTGATAAGCATATTGACAATCAATCCTGACTCACTAGCCATTACATCATTGAAAATATCACCTAATTTTGGTTCTTTCGAAAGGTAATCCCACAAAGATTTTCCATTAGCAGTATGAAATGAGGTGGGAAAATCATTTTTGTACCAATTACCTAACTCAAACCATGCTTTTTGAACAGATGGATCATGGGTGAGAAGCACGAGTGATCTCAAATTAAAGGGCTCATCTTTCACAAGAAAACGACTAGAAGGGGTAAGAGAATAGTAATCATGATCATGTTGTTCTATTATACCAGAATGAACCAAAAATCGCATTAAATTTGGTAAGAAGGAAATCTTAGAAGGGTCGATTATGAGGGAAAGTTCAGTAGAGAGATCGGAAAGATGCATAGGCTTACCATGTTTGTAAAGAATATCAGGAATTTCTAGTTGAACTGCAACATCTTAACGCTGAAGAACTCATAAATGAGAAAATATGGTTCCAAATTTGAGTTTGAGCTTGGAGAAGCTCAGAGTTACTCTCACTCGTTGACATTTATTTTGCTTAGAGTTGTCATCTAAAGCTACAAATAAGATGTAAATATATACAAGAGTAAGGAGTACTAGACTCAATAACTGGAGTTTTTTTTTTTTTTTTTTTTTGAGATTTACGTATATACGTACAAGCAGTTTATGTAAACTATAGAAGGTTAGCATGGCCACCTAATTCATTGTATGTTGAAAGATTTGATTGGAGTTTTTTTTTTCTTGAGATTTACGTATATAAAAAATATATATTTACGAATTTAATTTAGTAAACTATAGAAGGTTAGCATCCCTAAAATGTAAATATTACAAAGATTAATTATTATTTTTATTATGTTTTTTTCTCCTAAAATGAAAATACAACATCCACATATTTCCTATCCATAACTTGGTGTTCCTAAAATAGTAGCACGTGCTTATTATAAGGATGTTCCTAAAACCTTAAAATATAAATGACCACAATAATTAGATTTCGTTGAAATCTTGATGTAGATATTAAGTCATTACGGGCCATTAAATTCAAAATTCTCATAGAAAGCAATAAATCAGGGTCGTCTCGATCATAAGGTCACTAAAGCAATCGCTTGGGGCCTCAATATTTTTGAGGCCCCCACTTTCTTTCAAGAATCAAGAGGTCTATATATATATATGTATTGTATATATATTGTTAAAAAATCTCATATATTGATAAATTTGAAAAAAATTGGATAGAAAATATAATAATTTTTTACCTCATTTAATATAGAGATCGTTGTAATAATTGAGAAATAGAATAATATTTAGTTGGCGAAATGGTATGATAGACCCTTGTACTTGTGTCAGTTTGTATTTTGAACCCTTCTACTTATACATTTGTCATTTGGACCCTTAAACTCAATAAAACACAATTTATCGAACCCCTCAGAACATTGACCACACTTACGTGTCTTTAAGATGGCTGAGTTGGTGAAAGTGTGTGACTTCACCTCCTTAAGGCGAGTGAGTACTATATTTCAGTTTTAAAATTATATTAATAAAAGAATAAAATAATACAAAAGTTAAAAATTTAATTAAAAAGTCTCCATCTTCTTCACCCACTCCACCTTCATTTGCAGCCATCTACATGCCCCGACTCTTTTTTTTTTTCCTTTTCATACTATTGTCATCATCTTTAAGAGATCTTGGCATTGAAACCTCCTTGAGTCCATTGAATCACCGCTAGTGGGAGAGGTCAATGCTGGTGGTGCATGTCGGAGAAAACTAGTTCGCAGTAGAGTGAGAGAGACGGTGCTAGTCAGTGGAGAATGAGGCGGGTGAGGGTTGGAGGATTTAGTTACGACAGCGAAGAGATTTTCGGCTAGATCTGCGGCGGCGGCGGCAGAGATTTAGGTTGGTAGTTGTGTGATGGCACTACAACAAATTCGATTATGAGGGACAAATAATTTCGTCATTTATAAATCATATTTCGTCACTAAAATTCTTGTGAGACGAAAAATAATTCGTCACTCAGTCATCACTAAATGTGTCTCTAAAAGTATACAAAGACGATTTAGTGCTTCGTCGCTAAAAGTATTATATTAACTATAAAAAGAAAAATCGTCCCCAAATGCTTAAACATTTGTGACAAATTCATTTGTCGTAAAAAGTATATTTTTTGTAGATAATAGTATGTTTTGTCACTAAAAAGGTTATTACTACCGACAAAATTATATCGTCGCTAATGACTATATTTTATATACCAAAAATTATTTTGTTATTAAATGTATTAATTAGGGACAATTTTATTATTATAAAAAGATTAATTTTCCTATTATCCTCCCCCCACCCCACCCCCCCCACCCCATCTCAAATTTATTTTAAACTCCTCCCTAAGAGCTCCCACATCATGCTTTCTTGGGGATTCGAACTCACAACCTTAAGGTTGGAAATGAGGAGTGCTTACCATCAGATCAACTCTCTCTTGTCTCTCATTTTAATTCATTTTCTACTTCATTCACTTCTTTCAAATTTAACTTTTGTAGATATAATATATTATATGATTATTTATACATATACACAAGTGCATGAAAGTTACCACCCACAATTCATTCAATGTAGATTATATTTTAATTGAATTGTATATTTTTTTAACATATCTTTAAATATATTCAGTACGATTCTGTTATTTTATTTAGTTATTTTTATAAATTTTAAAAATTATATAGTACAATTATAAATTTAAATAAAATTAAACTTTTGATTTTATTTAAAAAATTGAATAATCGATTCAATTCGGTCAGTAAATCAATTGTTTTGTAAAAAAAAAACATTGATACCCATAACTATATATAGTACTTCATCATAATATATTTGAAATCCTAGGTTGTTCGTTTCTTTCATTTGTGCTTTCATATTTTTAGTTTATTTCGATTTTTACACTGATGGAAAAGTTAATAGAAATTCATGAAATATTTCGCACCTTTGCAAAGTCTAAGTTTGTAAGTTGATGTTATCTCTGTATAGTTGATCTACGTGCATTTGTGGAATTACTATTAAATAACTACATATTTTTAGACAGAAGCAAATAGATCGACTTAGTCTATGCAGTTTACCAATCACAAATCAATAGACACGCACAAAAATTAGCACCAAGACTTGAGAATTATTTTTTCTATCGTCTTTATCGATGAAAGTGTATCAAATAAAAAAATAAAAGTGTTAAACCAAAAAATATTAGTGATCTAGTGGCAGAATCGTACCCCACTCACGATACTTATAACCTGGATTGTATTTTTGAAATGATGCATAATTGTGTAATTTAAGAAAATTCATGAATTGAACTTTTTCATTTTTACAAAATGGACCGAATTCGTTGGTTTTAATATTTTTCCTCGCCAATTAACGAAAGGACTCTGTCTATTTCTTATGAAGCACTTATATTATTCTTTTTGTAAGTTGTCACTTGTAATTATGAACAATTGTAGCAAAAAAAATTGTATTTAGCTATGAATTTTTTTCGTAGCAAATAGTTGAATTATTCACTACAAATTTTAAGTCGTCACTATTTAACACCTTACATATTTTGTGACAATTTTTTTGTTGTCACTGAATCACAGATTGTTTAGAGACAATAAAATCTTTGTCACCAATTATTTATACTATTAGTGACGAAAATAAATATCATAATTAAAGTTAAATTCTTATAGCTAAAACTTATAATATTTAACTACAAATTCTAATTTGTCGATATTGTAACAACATATTTTTTTAGATGAAATTTTTTTGGGTAAAAAAATCAATAAATTTTAAGACAAAATAATTTGTCATGAATTAGATACATTATTAGTGACGAAATAATGTGTCACCGATAACTTTAAATTTGTGACTAACACTACTTAACAAATGGCGCCAATTAATTTTTTGGTGGGAAACTTTAGTAGATGAAACTTTGCTACGATTTTTTTGTTTCGTCACTAAAAGTATGTGTCTCATATATTTAAGCACGAAAAGTAAATTTTGTCACTAAAAGCGAACAATTAGTGACGAATTTGATGTCGTAGCTAATAATTTCGTAGCTATATATCATATTTGTTGTAGTGTGGTTGAAGGAGGAGGAAAGGAAAATAGTAGATTTTGTATGTTTTAAGATGGGAATGGGGACTCACCCTCCGAGGAAGAAACGCACCACCAGCTTGATCTCCTCCATAGAAGCGCCACCATTGTCAAAGTTCAGAAGAAGTTGAAGAGCTTATTGCCTAATCTATTTTGGAAATATGTTGGGTTTCTTTTTTAGCTTAAGGAATAAATTTAAATTTTATTGTTTTACTTTTTATTAAATAAAACACAATTGATTTTTTTAAATAAATAAATAATAAATGATGTGTAATTTTAAATCTGATGTGGATGATAATGTGTCATTTTTGTTGAGAGTTTGAAGTACACGCAGAGCCAAAGGGGTTTAAAATGCTAAGTTACATTGAATTTAAGGGTTCAATTGACAAATAGTTAAGTAGAAGGGTCCAGAATACAAATGTATACAAGTACAAGGGTCCATCAGACTATTTCGCCTATTTAGTTAATTGTAGAAACCTTACTTATGTGACTATCTATTTTGTTGTCTCATTTATATTCAGACGATTATAATGAACCAACATTATTATTATTCTTATATTTACTTTTTTTGAGTCCCCTTTCATTTTTTTTTCTCCTCATTATCGAATATTCTAAAGTCTCTCAAACATCAAACCCTCTGCATTAGGCAAAATCTATTGTTGTGTGTTAATAAAAAAATCAAATTCGTTTTTTGGTGTCCTCTTCAAATTTCAAAATACTACAACACTATTTTTATATCATTATATTAACTTATCAAATTCAGCAAAACACTATTTCGATATCAATATAAAGTTTTCAATTTTTTGAGTCAGGTTTTATAATTATTCTAACTTTATATTATATATTTTTCATTGAAAATTTACATTCTTACTTCATAATGTCTGGGTATATTCTACCTCGTATGTTATAATTATTCAATTTATATATGTCAAAAAAAAAGATCTCTCTATACAGTTTAGCTTTAGACCCCAAACTTGTTAAGACGGTATGCTACAAACAAACACCTAGAATCACTGAAAAACTTTATTCTGTGTGAGGCACACATATTGTCAGTTGTGTGAGGCCTCTTTGGGATGCCATTTGTATATTGTGGGACCCATATGGTACTTATTTCATTTCTTTTACATTTTTTTTCTCTGTCAATTTAAATCTTTTCTTTTACTTCCTCACTTGCATTTTCCTTTTTTTGCTTGTTAACTCTTATTGTGATTTTATTTTATTAAAGAAGCTTTGAAACTCATCTGCGATATATATATAATAAAATAAAATCACAATAAGAGTTAACAAGCAAAAAAAGGAAAATGCAAGTGAGGAAGTAAAAGAAAAGATTTAAATTGGCAGAGAAAAAACTGCGATATATATATATATATATATATATATATGTTTGGCTGTCTATTTGTCAAATTTAAGACAGGGTGTGCGGATAATATTAAGCAGTAA